GAAAGACTCCCTCTCTGGTACACAGTCCCCCCGCAACCTTAATTGTGGACTCTTGTGATAACCATAATACCCTATCATACATCGCTTTTAAATTATTCACTCCCTCATCTGTTTCAGTGCAGTATACACAATTTATCCAGTTTTTCTCAGTCTTACCCCCACTCTGATATCAGTCCCATTTCACAATATTGTTCCCATAGAGTCTTTCAGTATTGCAACTTGAAGCTTGAATTTGTTCTTCAGTTCATTCAGCTTGAGAAATATAGATGTTCTTCTTTTTTGTTTTACTTATATCACATTTTTAAATATTTTATTAGAATATTTGTGTTCTCAAGCTGCCTATTTCCCTCCCAAGCTGCCTTTTTGAAACCTGTTCAGTTCTCTTCATCATACCTTTCATTTGCTTTGACTCTGAAAATTAAAGAGCCGTTTTCAGAGGCTGAAAATTCTGAGATCCATTTTGGTCATTTCTTTCTTTGTCTTTTCAATATGTCTTTGAATCATATTTGTATTAATAGGTCTTCTTTGTGTGAATATGGATATTATCCTATCACAAACAACATTGTTCTTCAGGATGGATTTTGGTGTTCTTTTTGACTATGAATGTGATACAATCCTCCTTTATTATTCCCAACTTAGTAAGTCATGTAATTGGCTGATTCATAATGGCTAAATCAACCCATCTCCACTCACTAATGCCTAGGATGTTGATCTTTATGCATTCTATTTCAGTTTTAACAACTTACAGTATTCCTGGATTCAGACTTTTGTGCATTCCACGTTCTAATTCACAATGACTGTTTGTAGCTGTTTCTCCTCATATTGAAACCTACCACACTGACAAATGATGACCCTTCACTTGGTAAAGACTTTACTCCATCCATGTCATTAAGATAGATTCTACTTTGAGGAGAGGCAGCTCTTCTCCAGTAGCATTTTGAGTGCCTTTCAACCGGAGGGCATTATCATTGGCACTATACCAAACAACATTCCAGTATCATTAGTAGGGCTATTGAGGGCAGTTTATTTCAGAAGTAGATGGCCAGTCCTGTTTATTAGTTGAAACTTTTCTGAAACCTTCCTACCATCTATGATCCTGCTAGGATTTTAAATAATAGTAACATAGCATCCTAGCAGTACCCAAGCAACCATAGTGCGGCAAACTGACAGCCTCATGGTGGATTAGACAATAGAGGAAAGGAAAAGCATTTTTTAAACACAAATGAGAATGAAAATATAATATACCAAATTCTTTGAAACGAAAGGACTAAAACCAATGCCTCAATTGAAAATCTTCAACAATTAGAAAAAGAGCAGCAAACAAAATCTTCAGTCTTCAGGAAAAAATTGAATAAAGATTATAGCAGAAATAAGTTAAATAGAAACAATAGAATCTTTGTTATGTACATGTCACACCTTTCCTTATTGGAAGTGAGGAGGACTTGAAGCACTTGTTTCAGAAGGTTAAACATTGCCTTCAATATGGATTGCATATCAATGTCAAGAAAACAAAGATTTCACCACTAGACCAATAGATAGCTTCATGATGGATGGAGAAAGGGTTGCAACTGTCAACAACTTCAACTTACTTGTATCCAAAATCAATACATCAGCAGTCAGGAGATCAAGAGGTGTATTGCACTGGGAAAATTTGTAGTCAGAGACCGCTCCAAATTTTTGTTTGTTTTAGTACCATGTATTTTTTAATTTTATTTTTTTTCTACTAGTTTATTTACAAAATTCAAATACAAATTCGAACAAATTCTTTCAATTTCCCTCACCCCGCACACCTCCCCATCAAATTGTACAACCCGATAATTAATTCCCCCCACCCCCTGCACATCCACATCCCTCTGCTTTCAGCCTCTCCCACCCCTCTTGGATCCTTATACTCATTCTACAATATTGATTTTTTTTATACAATATTTATCCTTGTAGGACTGAGTTAGTTCACTCAGCATAATGCTCTCCAGTCCCTCCCAAGTTAGGTAATAATTTACAAAATTATTGCTCCTGCATGCTGCAAAATATTACATTGTGTGAATGTACCATAATTTTTTAATCCATTTGTTTATGGTTGGACATTTGGACTGTTTCCATGTTCTTGTGATGGTGACTAATGCTGCTTGAACATTGGTATACAAATCTCAGTTTGTGCATCAGTTCTCATATCCTCAGGGTATATTCCAAGTAGGCTCATACGGAGTTTCTATGTTCAGCTTTTTGAGGAAGTACCAAACTGCCTTCCAGAATGGTTGTATTATTTTACAATCCCACCAACAATGTATAAGAGTTCCTTTCTCACATTTCCAACATTCACTACTCGCTGCCCTGTTAAACTTTGCCACTGTTACTGGAGTGAGATGATGATGATACCTCGTTGTGATTTTGATTTGCCTCTCTCTTCTTGCCAGGGATTTGGAGCATTTCTTCATTGTCTGTTTGCCATTCAAATATCTTCCTTTCTGAAAATTTTTTCCGTGTTTTTTGCCCATTTTGTAATTTAGTTATCAGTCTTTTTCTTCTGGAGTCCCAGGAGTATTCTGTAAACTTTTGTTATAAGACTCTTGTCTGAGACGTTATTACCAAATGTTCGTTCCCAGTCTGTAGGTTTTCTTTTCACCCTGTTGGAAAAAAAATTTTATGTGCACAGGGATTTAATCTTTAGAAGGTCCCATGCATCAATTTTATCCTCTTCAGATTGTGCATTTCTGGTTGTATTTGGCAGTCTCTTTATACCTTAGCCTAGCGCTTCTAAGCTTGATCCCAGTTTGTCTCTTATAAAAGTTATGGTTTGGGGCTTTATTCACAGGTCTCTGATCACCTTGAGTTGATTTTTGTGTATGGTGTGAGATGTGGATCCTGTTTTAGCTTTTTGCAGGTGGAAGGCCAGTTTTGCCAGCACCATTTGTTGAAGACCTAATCATTTCCCCATTTGATAGCTTTGATTTCCTTGTCGAATATCAGGTCACCAATAGATAGTTGGGTCTATTTCTGGGTTCTCAATTCTGTTCCATTGGTCTATGTGCCTGTCATTGTACCAGTACCATGCTGGTTTTGGTTACTACTGTTGTGTAGTAAGTTTTGAGGTAGGGAGTGCTACGCCTCCAACCTCATTTTTGTTTCTCAGCTCTCCAAATTATTGAAGAATAATGAGGACTAAGGTGTGCCTGATTCAGGCTATGGTGTTTGTGGGTGTTTTGTTTTGTTCTTTTCCAGTAACTTGCTATGTTTCTGAGAGTTGGACAGTGTCTAAGGATGGCACAAGAAGAATTAATGCTTTTGAACTGTGGTGTTGGAGAAGAGTGTTGGACTTCCAAAAGAATAAACAGATATGCTTTGGAGAAGGTGCAGCCAGAGTGGTGCTTGGAGGCAAAGATGATGAAGCTTCTCACATACTTGAGCATTTTCCTAGAAGAGGTTATTACTTGGAGAGGAAACATGCTTGGGAAGGTGGAGAGAATGAAAGAGAGGAAGACCCTCAAGCAGATGGGTTGGCACAATGACTACAATAAGGGGCTTGAGTGTATCAGATTGTGAGGACAGCATGGGATAGGATAAGGTTCAGACCAGCTATTCATAGGGTCACTATAAGTTGTACTAAATTCAACAGCATCTGACAATAACAATTTCATGGCATATTCATACAGTGAGTATTATGCAACACTATTGAATTCTAGAAACCTTGTATAACATGGGTGAATCTAGAAAAAATTATACTCAGTGACATAAATCAGTTACAAAAAAGACAAATATTATATAAGACAACTATTTAAAAAGTTAAGGAAAGGTTACACAGAGGTAGAATCTTTCCTGGATAATTACCAGGGATGAGAAGGGAGAGAAAGGAGAGTAAAAATTAGTAGATAATAGATACTTAGTAAGTTGGGTAAAGAAAGGCAGTATACAATAAGGGTTGGATCGAATATTGTTAATTAATTAGTCATATTAATTGTAATTAATATTTAAAAATGTGTATGAAAGAATGAAAAATAAATGTGATTTATAAACTTTAAAATAACATTATAATTTAAAACATTTTTTAAAAACAAATCTGTGAGACCACAAGCAAATTTGTGGTTGGATGTGCCCAACAGATGTTAAATGATGCATAGTTCTAGATTCTAAACTATTTACACATGAAAATTATTTTATGACTGTAATTTGCTTTAAAATATGTGAAAGGATATTACTGCAAAGAGAGGGCATGAGGATGGGGTTTTAGGATGATATAACTGTTACTGTTCTGCATCTTGGTTGTTCTTGGAGTAACCACAAATCTATATATGTAAAGTATATATCTTTAAAATAAAGATTTCAGACTGATTAAGTCATAGCTAACATGGTGAAATTAGAACAGACACAGTGTATAAAATGTCATATACAGAATAATAACAAAAACAGGAAGATTGTGGATTGAAATCCTTGAATAAGAGACACAGAAAGCACATAGTGAACCCTTTCATGAGCTTATGCAGGTGGCTGGTTTATTGCCAAGGTTGTAGAAAGTAATACATGTTCAAAGAAATAAGGTCACTGGCCATCTCTGAGCCAGGCACCATTGTTTCTGACTCTGCTAGTCCAGCTTTGTTTACTCTGCCTTTGTTTTCTAGGAGGGAGATTACCTTTCCACCAGCTCTCAACCCATATTTTTTCCCATTCATCATTCACCTGTACTCACATTTTACAAATTACAATTTATTCCAGTTTTCACTCCATCAGCCATGACTGAACTGGAGAAAGCAGGTTTGAAGCTCTTCCTAACAATCAAAGGGCACCAAAAAGGAGTAAAAACAGTCAGTTTTGCTCTATCTTCATTTTAAAAATAAAACTTAAGTGTGAATATTATGTAAAGAATAAGTAGAACGATATATGGAAATAAAATAGGCTATGACTTGCCAATATTTAGAACTGAGAGATGGCACATGAGTGCTCATTATACTATTTCTGCCATGTATATATTTAAATTTTTTAATATATGTGGTTATTAATAACAATGTGAAAGCTTGGAAAATTTAGAATTCCTGTGTGGCAAATTTAGGGAGCTCTGGTGGACTAGTGGTAAGAAGCTGCACTGCATTCCCAAAGACACATGGTTCAAATCCACCAGCTGCTCCGCAGGTGAAGGATGGGCATTCTCCTTACATGTGATTTAACTGCCTCTGAAAAACTGCCAGAGGCTCAGCTGTGGATGATTTCCGACTCAGCGGTGCCCAGCCACCACATTGTTGCTAATTTAAAGCAATAACTTTGAAATAAATGTATTCTAGTGTTGTAAACTTTCTTTTTATTTACTTAATTAAAAGCTTTAGTATATAAAATTATATGTAGACTTGCACACTGTGTGCACACTAATTAGAGCAGAGTATATTTTGGTTTAACTGCTCAATTGCTGCTGTTGCCACTAGTTTGTTTTCTTTCAGGATCAAAGTGACATCACTCACTCAACTCACTGCCCTCAAGTCATAGCTGAGCCTCCAGCAGGTTTTTGGAGGCGATAAATCACATGGGAGGAACCTACCCATTTTTCTCCCATGGAGCCACTAGTAAATTCAAACCACCAAAGAGGCACCACCTTTGGGTCCGCAGCACAAGTCTCCATGGACTACCCCACCAGAACACTCTCTTGCTTTCATATAAAAACTTAATTCTTCATCTTGCAATTCTTTCCTGGATTCTGTCTTGGCGTAATTATACATGCAGTGGACCAAACATCCTAACTCACCAAAAATAAACGCATAAATCACTCAAAAACCACTCCTATTCCAACATTACATTACCTTCTAGTTCTGCTAGCTACTGAACAATGTTCAAGGCCAGCCACAATAAATTATAATGAATCAGATAATTCTGAATCACGTGCACAGAAATATTTTTGCATCTAAATTCCTGGAAGTTTAAAGCTCTTCTCATCCCTGGGCTTGCCAGATCCCAGCTCAGCTACCATGGGAATGAATCCCACTGTTGCAAACTATTGCTTTAGTGTACCAGTAATTGAAATATAATTAGACAAAGTCAGATGTTGTATGAAAATGGAAGTATAATGATTAAAGGTACTCTACACTGTATACATTCATACACTAAATTACAATGAAAAATTTTGTTTGTTTGTTAGGATGAGAGAGGCTGCAAGAAAGATAGAAGAAAAGCATTTTTCCAACCATGCTACACATGTTGAATTTCTCCCTGTGGAGTGGCGGTCAAAACTTACCCTTGATGGAGGTACATTTTGTTTAAAAGTTTAATTTTTTAGAAAATGTATTATATCCTTTGGAAACAAGATGACTACTTCAATTTAGTTGTTTCAACAAGATATACACATTCTTTGTTCTAGATTATTTAAGAAAATAAAAATAATTTACTTTAAAGATAATTTTATTTCCTTTTGTTCTGGAGCAGCATCTACCTATTAGAGATAGCACATCCATGTTTGCCTGTTAAAGATATTTTCAGGAGCCAAGGAAATAATGTAGGGACCAAAATGCTTTCTAATTCTTCTGATAGAAAAATAGTTTTTCAAGACTATAAAAAAAATTTGTCCCAAATTTCATAAAGGTTTGCATATTCTTCTTATGTTTAGGAGATAAGCTCTCAAGGGTTTTGGTTATTGTTTATTACCTAGTTCTTTCATTCCCTGAGTTGGTAAATCATAATCTACCATAGAGAGATTGTACATACTTATTTAAATAAAACTATTTTTATTTTGGAAGTTCTGGTGGCCTAGCAGCAAGAGGCTGCACTACAATCCCAGAGGCCTGTGTTTCAAATCTACCAGGTGCTCTGCTGGAGAAGGAGGAGCAATCTCCTCCTGTACCATTTGGATCCAATTTGATGGTACAAACACACAAAATAATGAATAAAACTATTTTTGTTTCGCTCCTGATAGAGCTGATGCCAATCAAAATATACATGTCTCTTTATAGAAGTTATGTCCTATGACTACTAAAACCATTACAATAAAATATTTATTTCACTATTTATACAATCTAATGAAAATGAAAGAATTCTACTGAACATATTGACAGTTTCCATTTGTAGAATCCACTGTGTGCCCATCTCTCAGCTAGGCAATTTACATGGATTATCATTTCATTTCATCTCCTCACAAATCTATCATAAATTTTGTTTTCTTTATTTTATTGATAAGGACACTGAGACTGAATAAAGAGTAAATTCAGCTGAGCTAAGAAGAGGAAAACAGGTCTGTGGAATACCAAAGCCTATCCTAATGCTAAACTGCCTTCTGAATACGTTACAAGGATCGTTTTATATCTTTAATTCTATGCCAATAGTAAAATTTAACTGGAATTATAAACTTAGGGACTTTAGTAAATGTTAAATCATTCTTTCTGTTCATATTCCTGAAGACCCTAAAGAATTTATTTTGGTGGATAGGAAAAGCTCAAAGGATAGTGTTTTAGTTCCATCATAACTTTATATATGTAAACTTCTGCTGCTAACACCACTTTAATCTTTAGCAAATTTAAGTCATTACAATTTATGATGTCATTTTGATTTGATAACCTATAATTGATAATCTTGACTCACACATTTTAACAATTTATTATTTTTTATTTGGTGAAATTATACACAAAAATATTTCATCATTTCAACAGTTTCTAGATGTACAGACATTGAAAAGATTCATCATATTGTGCAACCTCTATCACTACCTTTTTCCTATGATTGCACTGCTATTAACATAAACTCAGTGTCGTCCTCTACCAAGCAAGAATATTCTTTTTCCCCTTACTTCTCAGTCCTGGTAACAACTAATACTCTTTTGTTTCTGTATGTTATTTCATATGCATGAGACAATACTGGATTGTCTTTTTGTGACAGATGTGTTGCATTGATTGTGTTTCCAAGGTTTATCCATGTTGTGATGTGTATAAGAACTTCATTTCTCTTTATGTCTAAGTAATTCTCCATTTTATGTATATGCCTCATTTAATGTATTCATTTTTCTGATGAACAATTAATTGTCATTGTTGTTAGGTGCCACCAAGTGGACTCCAATTCAAAACAACCCTATGTAGGCTGTTTTAACCTTTTGCTATGGTGAAAAATACTGCAGTGAACACTGATATCCATTTTAGGTTAATTTTACACAATTAGAATATTCCTTTAAAATGCATCAAGGACTTCCAGTTCTGAAAGTATTTCATACTAAATATTCAGAAACATACTGCAGATACATCACCTTGCCTAAAAAAGAATTAAAAACTACAATTTCAAATGCTGTTTGAAGGATAGGCATTCTCCTCCCATGCGATTTACTGCCTCTGAAAACTCCCTAGATGGTCAGCTATGAGTTGGTTCCTAGTTTGTGGCAAACAACAACCATGTGTCATCTTTAAATTGTTTTTCCATTTAAGATTGAAATGATGAGAAAGTAAGGAAATTCGTTTCAGAGAGCTTTATCAGAGAATTAAGCAAGTCCAGAACTATTTTTTGGTATGTTGAGGGTGTGAGTATAATAAACCACAAGCACAGGGAAGAGAAGACAAAGCCTGTGGACTAGAAACCCTGGTATAGTAGTCCATTATTATTGTTGAGTTGGAACCAACTAATAGCTGACCCTCCAGAAGGTTTTCAAAGGCTATAAATTGCACAGGAGAGTAACTTTCTTTCTCCCATGCGGCCTCTAGTGCATTCAAACCACCAGACAGGTGTGATACTTCACCTAGTAGTACAGCTCTCTACAGACTACATCACCACCAGAGTTCAAAGTATAATACTCTTGTTGTTGTATGCCATCAAGCCAAGTATGACTCATTGTGACCCAATGAGCAACAAACCTAAACCCTGTCCTATCCTGTGCCATTCTCATCGTCTCTGACACACTTGAACCCATTGCTGCAGTCTATATCAGTCTATATCTTAAGGGGTCTTACTCTTTTGCTGATATGCCACCTTTCCAAGCATGATGTTCCTTTCCAAGAAATAGCCCCTCCTAGCAACATGTCCAAAGTATGAAAATTAAAGCTTCACCAACTTTGCTTCCAAAGAACACTCGCTACACTTTGTCTAGGATTTATGTGTTTGTTCAGTACTTTTCTCCAACATCACAACTTACTGGCGTCAGTTCTTCTGATAGTAAACCTTCAGCAGGTTTACTAGGAAAATAATAATGCCACAGTAAAAATACATGCATTATTTTGTCTTAGATCTCCGGGGTACATAAAAAGACCAGAAAAATACTGGAGACCACTTAATGACATAATTGGATTCGAGCAAGAATGTGTGTAAGAGAGAAAAGAGTAAAAATACTTTAAAATAGTCATAAATTATTGCATTATTAGACACCTGGAATAAGCAAACATAGGTCCATTGAAAATGCTTTTTAAACTTAGGCTTCATAAATTTCTTCTATATGAGATTTTAAGGAGCATGAATATAATTTAAAGCCATTGAACACTTAAGAAAACAAATCATTAAGAAAAAGTCTATAATGACATAATTTGATCTACTAAAGCTTCATATCTTGAATTCTATATGAAAGACATTTATTTACAGAAATTTAAAAAAGATGTTACACTTGTAACAAAAGAAAGCAAAAGGATGAAAATTGACTAGTTAGTAGACTTCAAAGCAAATACATTTACCAGGGAGAAAAGGAGACATTAAAAAAAGAATCTGTTCACCAAGAAAGCATAATAACCCAAAATATATATGCACCTAAAAATAGAGCCTCAAAATACCTGAAGCAAAAACTTGCATACCTAAAAGGGAAAGCAGACAAGTTCATAATTAAAGTATCATACTTTTTAAAAAAATCTACTGTTATTTTAATGAGGCCATTCCAGAACAAGTAGATCAGAAACCTAATCACTCCTGAGTTATGAGAAAAACAGAACAGATACAAAGATGAGCTCATACAAGAAAAGACAGATATCACATGAGGGTTACTAAGGAATCAAGGAAGGGTGACAGAAGAATTGATGTCTTTGAGCTGCGGTTTTGGAGAAGAGCACTGAATATCCCCTGGACTGCCAAAAGAACAAACATCTGTCATGAAGGAAGTGCAACCAGGGTGCACCTTAAGAGTCAAGGATGGGGAAACTTACATTGGGCACGTTGTCAGGAAGGGCTGGGCCAATCCTTGGAAAAGGACGTCATGCTTTGAAAGGTGGAGGGTAAAAAAAAAAAAAAGGTGGAGGGTTAGAGAATGAGAAGAAGACCTCCAAAAGGTGGACTGGCACGGTGATGCTGACAACGGGCTCAAGTGCAGGCCAGGCAGGGTTCACATCTGTTGATGATGGGGTTGCTGTGAATTGTAGGCAACTCAAAGGCACCTAACAACAGCAACACTGACCCCTATAAAGTATTAAAAAGCAAAGGTGTCACTTTGAAGACTAAGGGGTGACTGACCCAAGCATTTTCAGTTGCCTCATATGCATGTGAAAGCTGGACAATGAATATAGATTCTGAATCTACAACAGATGAACTAATACGGTTATGAGACCAATACATTACTTATGCTAATGAGGCTCCTTACACACATCTGTTTGAGACAAAGTATTGCTAAACCATTCCTTAGAAGTGAGCTTTCCTCACGCTTTGGATGTGTTATTTGGAGGGACCAGTCCCTAGAGGAAACTCCTCAATGAGATGGATTGACATCTCACTGCCTGCTGCAATGGGCTTAAACATAATGATGATTACAAGAGCACCAAAGGCCCAGGCAGCATTTTGTTCTGTTATCCATGAAGTCTTTATGTGTCACAATGCTCTTAGAGTCAGCAAATACCACTACTGAGGAAGGACTTGATAGAGCTGAGACTGAGACCCTGATTTGGACTTTCAGCCTCAAAATCGACAAGAAAATGCAATGTTGTTCTTCAAAGTTACACTTTTGTATTTATAGCAGCTCTGGATAACTAACATCCCCTTACTCTGTCCATCCTGACCTGGGCCCATCAGGAAAATGGTAAATGTGTCATCCCATCTCCCCTACTCTCTTAATTGAATGTATAGCATCTTACTTTTAACAGTCCTCTCAGTAATAAATACAAATTAACAAAAATAAAAAAGCACTGAATACCACCATGAATGGATAATTGATATCTATTGATATCCACCAGTTACTGAATACTTACTCTTCAAGTGCACAAGGAACACTCACCAAAATAGACCTGTCCTGAAACAACCACCTTAATAAAGCTCAAAAAATATAAATCATGCAAAGTGATTATTTAGCTATAAAGGACTACTTCTTATTGTATGACATCGAGTCTGAACCGATGTATAGTTGGCCCTCCAGCAGGTTTTTAGAGGCACTAAATTGCGTGGGAGGACATTGCCCATCTTTCTCTCTCAGAGCTGAGGGTTGATTCAAACTGCATACGTTTGGGATTACAGTGCAGCAGCTTATCACTAGGCCACCAGAGCTCCCTATAATGGACTATAATTAGAAAACCAATGGCAGAAAAAGAACTGAAATACCTCCAAATACTCTTAAGCTAAATTAGCATGCCTCAGTAATTTCTGGGTCAAAGAAACTAAAAAGGAGCTTAGAAAATCTTTTTAGCTGATTGAAAATGTAAATACAATATATGAAACTGGGATGCATCTAGAAGTATTTCTTATAGGCAAAAAACATACAGTATACCTACTTGTATTTTTTAAAAGAAGTTTCACATCAATAGATTTCTTTCTGCCTTAAGAAATTAGTAATATATAAGTGCATATGCCTCGAAATAAACCCAAAGCAATTGGATGGAAGAAAATAATAACAGGAATCACTTAAATAAAAATAATTGTTTTCTCTCTTAATTGTGATGGTAATTGTATAATCTGTACATGCATTTAAAAGATACCATTTTGTATAAATGTTTTAAATCCCTACAGCAAATATTATTGTGCCCATTCTTATTGAAAAAAAGAGTAAGCTAAGAAGGGCTACCCTTAACATGTTATGTTTGAAATCTTGACCAGTGCAATAAGAAAAATTATATTAATAAAAATTGAAAAGGATCTGTTTTTATTTGCAAAATATGTGGTTGTCTGCATAGACTATATAAAAGAGCCTCCAGGAAAATTATTTGAATAGTTTATTTGTGAAACAGAAACTCTTAGATGAAAGTAATTATATTTCTATATATCAGCAATAAATTTATTTATTTATTTTAAAAATAGCATTTATAATAAGCAGAGCTTCAAAATGATTCATTTAGTTTGGCTCTGTGCTAAGAGTTTGTTTTTCCATGTCAAATAATTTTATAAATGTTCAGGAATATACATAAGAATCATCTGGGGATATTATTAAAATGTAAATTCTGATTCAGTGTCTCTTAGATGAAAATGAAGATTCCTTGTAGGAGATCAAACTAAAATGAATCAGTTCAAATCCTGCTAATACTATTTAAAAATATAAATCTCACTACAATGAAATCTAATAAAACATGAATACTTATTAAAAAAATAAAGCTATTAAATACAGCCTCTGTGTGTGTGTTAGATTGGATGATTTATTATTCCAGAGATACTAATTCTCCCAAGTTGATCTATATATTCTGTGCAGTTCCAATCCCAGTAGAGGTTTTCATGAAACTTCAAAAACTAATTCTAAAATAATTATAGAAGAGCAAAGGGCCAAATATAACTGAAACATTGAAAAGAGAGGTAGGGTTGAAGAAGAGAGCCATGTCCTGCTCTGCTGCAGATCCAGATCAATAATAGGCAGAGACCAGCACATCAGACGATATGTTGTTATGTGCCATTGAGTTGGAACTGATTCATAGCTGACCCAGAGGCTAGAAATCACACTGAAGGAGATTGCTCATTTTTTGGCTTTGGAACAGCTGGTAGATGTGAGCCATATCCTTTGTGTTGGCAGTGGGACTCCTTACGAACTAGGCCCTCTGAGCTCCCTTTCACCTCAGACTAAAAAGTTCTAAACCAACTTGCGCATGTTTTAGATACTTGATTTATGACAGGGCTGGAATTATACCTCTATAGTAACAGTAAAAGATGCTTGGTAACAGACTTTCTTTATGGGTGGAAATTATTCTCCATGCTTTAGATATATCTAGGGTATAAATATGAAAGCCAATACTTTTAAATTCTTAGAAGAAAATATAGGAGTATGTCTTTATTAACTCAAGATAGGGAAGAAACTTTTAAAGGAAACATGAAAAGCACAATATAAGGTAACATTAATCGATTTGATTAGACTGACATTAAAAAATTATCTTTATCGATGTTAATGTTGTTGTGTACCATCGAGTCAGAACTGACCCATAGCTGACCCTCTGTCGGGTTTTCAGAGGCAATTAATTGCACAGGAGGAGATTGCCCATCCTTTTCCTGTGAGGCAGCTGGCTGATTTGAACCATGTAACTTCAGGATTGCAGCACAGATCCTTACCTCTAGACCACCAGAGCTTCCTATTGATAGATATTATAAAGAGAATAAGAGACAAGCCACAAACTGGAGGCAAAAAAGGCAGTAGATAATATACAAAGGGTGGTCTTACTATTTTTTTTTCCCTAGAAATATTTTCCAAGAACGAGAGATCCACTAGACCCAAAGGTATCCTTGAGTAGTCATATGTTGTTAATGTAAATAGCTGTTATTAAGGCAATATAATTCTTTTTCACCATTTATTTTCCCCTTAACAGATCTTTTGTAAGTTTTGTGTTTTTTTATTTGTAGACACTGTTGATTCTATTACTCCTGACAAAGTACGAGGTTTAAGAGATATGTTGAACAGCAGTGCAATGGACATAATGTATTATACTAGCCCACTTTATAGGGATGAAGTAAGTATCATGATATCTTGTTGCTATTGAGTATTTTAAAGTGATAGTACGTTAAGTATCCTAAATTGTAAAAGCAATGTAGCTAATATAGGTATCATTAATCTATAAATATCTAGTTTTAAATAGTGAATTTCATAGTCTTCAAACTAGCCACTGGGACCCTTAATTAAATGGATAAGAATAGAGGTAGCTTTCTTGAAGAATATCAGTTTTCTTATACTTGGTTAATTATATCTATGATCATTATCCTCACAAAAGAGTTTAGACATTTGAACATTGACTTCAAGTGTTTTTGTTCATAATATAATTACTTTTCTTGTATCATCTCTGTAATATTGTTCTGATAATGTGTCACAAATGCAACCTTGAAAGAGTTAGACGTAAAGGCTTATTCCGTAAAATGAGAGAATCTCTATGTAATGCTTTCTGTTATTTTATTGATAACGGAAAAAATTTTGGTTTGTAGTAGTAACTAAAATTTATTAACCGCTTCACAAATGTTAGCTTGTTTAATATCCACAAAAACTTATGATTTTGAAGTTGACAATCATTTGAAAGATGAAGTTACTAGTAGAAAGAGAGAATCAAGATTGAACGACCTATTGGGCAGATCGATGGCCCATAGACATTCAAACCAAATAATCATTTCCACCCTATTTTAAAACTACAAGCTTATTTGGAGGAAAAGCAAATTAATACTGAATGTCAAGGAATGGTGTACCTGCATGGAATTCTATAAACCTATTACTTGAGATCAGGAAGATAAAGGCAAAAGTAGAGGTGAAGAGATGGTATTGTGGAAATATAGCAATGCACATCCCAACCACACTGAGGAAATAGCTATTGTGTTTTTCATGTAGTTCACAAGACTGGTCTAGGTTTGAAATAGAGCAGAGAATTCAGCCTTCAAGAAGTTCACAAGACTGGTCTAGGTTTGAAATAGAGCAGAGAATTCAGCCTTCAAGAATCTGCTAAAAGTGAGCCATGACTGGTGAATGAGTCTCACTTGATTTTTGTTTTGATTTTTGATAGTCATATACAATTTGTAAAGTTTAATACCAATTTACTGGTGAATGTGGAGGGAGAGCTGGAGCTAGAAAATCATCATTTTGGAGCCATCATAGTAAAGATAGGGTTAGACATGAGTCATTAATGAACACTCAATTTAGGGTCATAGTATCACCTCTTCCCATCTGGAAGTGTGTCAAGGGGTGGAGCAGAGTTTCTGCTGGCCTCAGAGGAGCCCAGACTAGTTTCCTGGCTAGAGATAATGTCTTTACCAATCTAAGGGATGAGTGCAGGCTTGGTACCCAGTTAGAGATGGCTGGTATACAGAAAGTCACTGCCAACCTGAAATGTTCAAGGATGATCACACTGCAAAGGTTGTACTGCTCCAAATGTGACCATGGAGTGTGCAGGGTAAGGGTGCCTAGTGATGGGGAAAGTTTTCAGTCACAGGTGCTGTCCCTACTAATATGGTGGCTGATGGCAGGCCATTTGCAGCACACTCTGCAGACTCCTAGAAGCATCTGAAAGTTGAACAGTGAATAAGAATGATGGAAGAATTGATGCCTTTTAACTGTGGTCTTGGAGAAGAGTACTGAATATATCATGGACTGCCAAAAGAACAGATAACTCTGCCTTGGAGGAAGTGCAACCAGCATGCTTCTTAAAGGCATGAATGGTGAAACTTTATCTCAAATATTTGGGCTCTGTTGTCAGGAGGGGCTAGTCCTTGGAAAAAAACATCATGGTGGGGAAGATAGAAGGTCAGTGAAAGAGAATACTCTCAACAAGATTGAATGACTCACTGACATAATAACGGGCTTAATAATGTAGCTCTGAGTCATAATCAACTTATTGGTGCCCAACAACAAAATCTAGGGGGAATTTTTTTAATTTATAAACTGATAAAAGTGAAATGTGGATGGTACATTAGGTAAAGTATTATATCATTGTAAATATATGACATTTTAGCTCCAAGTATGGAAGAAAAGATTTCTAGTCTTAGAAGATAGACACTGAAATACTTCAGGATAAAGGACCATGACCTGTATAATGTATATTCTCAAGTGGATTCATGTACTTTGGGCATGTTGTCAGGAAGAGCCAGTTCTTGGAAAAAGACATCATGCAGGGGAAGGTAGAGGGTCAGGGAAATAGAGAAGATCTTCACTGAGATGGGTTGACATTGTCACACCAGCAGTGAGCTTGAGCACGATGGAGATCTTGATGAAGATGGAGCAGGGTAGGACACGGTTCAGAGCTGGTGTTTATGTTTGCTGTGAGTCATAGTCAACTTGAGGGACATCCAGAGCTGCATCTGTTAGTTGAAACATGTCGGTTAAAGTCTCATCAAGTCTTGTTGCCTTATTTTTAGCCAGTGACATCAGTGCGTCTTGAGCTTCCTTCATTACCATTTTATCATATGATATGTGCTGTAATATTTCTCTGTTAGCCAATTCCTTTTGATATAGTGATTCTGTGTATTTCCCTCCATCTTTTGAAACTTTCTGGTTTATTCTAGATTTTGCCCATAGCAGCCTTAAGTATCCTGCTTGAACTTCTGGCAGTTCCTTATCTATACATATACTGTTCTAGCTGTTTTTTAATAATCTTCAGCATTATTTTGCCTGCATGTTATATCAATGATATTGTTCAATAACTTCCACATTCATTTGGATCACCTATCTTGGGAATGGGAACAAGTAGGACCTCTTCCAATCCATTGGCCAGACAGCCGTCCTCCCAGTTTCCTGGCATAGACTGTTTAGTGCATTCAAGGCTGCGTCTGTTAATTGAAACAAGTCAGTTGGTATCCTATTGATCCCTGGGCCATATTTTTCACCAATGCCGTCAGTGCAGCTTCTGCTTCCTCCTTCATTACCATTGGCTCCTGTGTTCATATGGTACTTCCTGAAATTTGTCAGTTTCAGTCAGTTTCTTTTTTGGAACAGTGATTCTGTGTATTCCCTCCATCTTATGATGCTTTCTGGGTCATTCAGTATATTGCCCATAGCATCTTTCAATATTGCAAAACACAGCTTAAAGTTGTTCATCTGTTCTTTCAGCTTAAGAAATGCAGAGCAAGTTCTTCCCTTTTTATTTTCCACTTCAAGCTCTCTGCACATTCCGTAATAATACTTTGCTTTGTCCTCCTAAGCTGCCCTTTCAAATTGTCTGTTCAGGTCTTTCACTTCATCATGTTTTCCTTTAGATTTGGCTTCTCGATGCTTCAGTGTAATCTGTAGTGTCTCTTCTCACATCTATTCTGTTTTTCTTTCTTCTGTTTTTGTAGTGACCTTTGCTTTCTTCACGGATGATATCCTTGATATCATCTGGTTCTATCATTGGTGTGCAGTGCCTCAACACTATCCTTAAGATGATCATGAAATTGAGATAGAATCATAGCTTGGTTCTTGTGGGCTTAATTTCTTTTCTTCAGCTTCAGTTTAAATGTGGAGTAAATCTCAACATAAAACAAAAATTCTCACCACTGGACTGATAGGTAACATCATGATAGATGGGGAAATAATTGAAAATGTCAAAAATTTTGGCTTACTTGGGTCCACAATCAGCACCACTGGTACCAGCAGTAAGGAGATCATGGAACATATTACATTGGGAAAGCCTGCAGTCAGGGACCTCCCCAAATAACTGAGGAACAATAATGTCAGTTTGAAGACTAAGGTGTGCCTGATTTAGGCTATGGTCATTTCAGTCATTGCTATCCATGTGAAAACTGGACAGTGAATAAGGATGACAGGTAGATAATTGATGCCTTTGAACTGTGATAATAGAGAAAGGTACTGAATACCCCACGGGCTATCGAAAGAACAAACAGAGATGGCTTGGAGAAAGTGCAGCCAGAATGCTTGTTGGAGGCAAAGATGGCAAAACTTCATCTCATATTTTGGGCATATTGCTATGAGAGACTGTTCCCTGGAAAGGGACATCATGCTTGAAAAGGTGGAGGGTAGGCAAAAGAGAAGAGGACCCTATACAAGATGGGTTGACGTAGTGACTGCATCAGTAGGTTCAAGTATGTTAGAAATTATGAAAACGGCTCAGGATAGGACAGGGCTCAGTTACTCATAGGGTCGCTATGGTTTGTAGTCCACTCAACAACACCTAAGAACTGGTAGCCTAACGGTAAGGAATTGCACCAACATCTCAAGGAATGTGATTTGTATCCACCAGCTGCTCCATGGGAGAATGATAGACAACCTTCTCCCATGCAATTTCTTGCCTCTGAAAACTTGCTGGAGGATTAGCTATGAGTTGGTTCCAACTCAACAGTACGTAACAGTATCTTATCTAGATATAATAAGGACATAAAAAAGGTTAGTTCAAGTATATAATTATCAAAACAAAGCCATCTAGCCTTTAGAAACTTGAATATTGAATATTCTATATCCTGGCAAAATGTTTTAACATTAAATTAGCTTTCTCTATCATAGACACCTTATTTTGTTTACCAAACTAATGAAGATGTTAGATTAGTGAGAGATCTATTCAAGTTTTTTTTTTAGTATTTAGATATATACCTTTGTGGTTCTAGATTTACATAGTGTAAATCTTTAAAAGTAAAAACTGTTGAAAAGTGTGTTTTTAAAGGAGTTTATCTTACCTCAACATCAAGAAAAATCCCACCAACAATTAGACACCATCATGGTAGATGGAGACAATATTGTCGATTTCATTTTACTTGGATCCATAATCAACACCAATGGCAGCAGTATTCAGGAAATCAAAAGACTTAAATTGGACAGATCTGCTACCAAGGACCTTTTTATAGTGTTAGAGTAAAGATGTCAGTTTGAATACTTATGGTATCTGACCCATGGTATGGTGTGTCCAGTTGCTTCCTATGCATGTGAAAATTGGATAATAAATTAGGAAAACACAAAGAAGTGATGTTTTTTAATTGTGTTGTTGGCAAAGAGTGTGACTATACCATGTTGGGTTTATGTACTGATAAGTCAGAACCAACTCACAGCTGACCTTCCAGCAGGTTTTCAGAGGCAGTTAATCATAAAATAGGAAATTTCCCATCTTTTCTTCCATGGCAGAGTTGGCAGATTCAAACTATATACCTTTTGGTTCACAGTACAACTCCTTACCACTAAGCTACCCAGACTCCTTGGTCAGCAAAGGAGAGGAACACCCTCAGCAAGATAGATTGATATTGACACAGTGGCTGAGGCAATAGCCACAAGTGTTTCAGGGATGATAAGAATGACGGCATATAGGACACAATTCAGATCTGATGTTCATAGTGTTGCTATGAGTTGTATACACCTTGACAGCACCTAACAGTAAGAACATGAATATACCACGGACTTCCAAAGCATCAAACCTGTGTTGGAAGAAGTGGAACCAGGGTGCTCCTTAGAGGGAAATGCAGTGAAACTTCATCCAACATACTCTGGACATACTATCAGGAGGCACCAATCCTTGGAAAAAGACATCAGGCTTGGACAAATAAAGAGTCAACAAGAGAGGAAGACCCCTAACAGGATGAAATGATATAGTGACTACAGCAGTGGGCTTGAACTTGGTAGAGATCATGAGGATAGAGCAGGGTTTCAATCTGTTGTTTCTAGAGTTGCTAGGAGTTGTAGTTGGCACTAAGCAAAAGTTTGTCTTTACTTCCCTTAATATAAATTGTGTATCAGGAAAATTGGAAATGTTTAAAGACTAGTTGGTGGTCTTAATCAAGTCCTAAGTATTATATTACAGCTCCCCTTAGAACAAAGCCTTGGATTTTCATACTACATTGCATATTCCTTAAATTAGATTAACCTAAATTTTACCTGCAAACTGATTTATAAAGTTTTTATATACATTTGCCATTAAAGCACTTGCTCAGATGTAGTCCCCAAAGCAGTAGAATCAGTGTCTACTTTGTTGTGGTTGTTAGGTGATATAGAGTCAGGTGTGACCAATAGCAGCCCTATTAAAAACAGATCTGAACCCAGTCCTGTCCTGTGCCGTGCTCACACTTCCTGGCATACTAGAGCCCATTGTGACAGTCCTCTTGGTTGAGGGTCTTCCTCTCTTTAGCTGACCCTTGCCTTTCTGTATACTTAGAAATTCTCAGAACCAATCCCAGACCAGACCTACTGAATCAGAAACTCTGGAATAAAACCTGTTGTTGTTGTACTGTCGAGTCAGAACCGACACATAGCTGACCCTCCAGCAGGTTTTCAGAGGCAGTAAAATGCATGGGAGGAGATTGCCCATCTTTCTTCTGTGGAGGGGCTAATGATGCAAACTGTGTACCTTTGCACTGGCAGCTCAATTCCTTGTCACTAAGCCACCAAAGTTGCCTTGGAATAAGTACTAGCAACTTTGAAATTAATTTCAACTAAAGGCAATGCCATGTGTATCAGAGCAAAACTATGCTCCCTGGGATTTTCAATAGCAGATTTTTCAGAAGTAGATCATGGCACATTTCCTCAAAGGTACTGCTAGGTGTATTTCAACCTAAATAGGACATTAACCATTTGCATCATGCATGGCAGGGACAGGATCTGGCAATCTGTATTAATTTAAATAATAAGTCCTGGTAAGACTTAATCCATGTTAAGTCTTAGAGGACCAATGCACTTAAAGCATGGGATACTTTCGCTTTTCCTGTAAAGAAAATAAAAATATTCAATAAACCATGAAACTTCTAAAATCCTCCCTAAAGGATTTATCATCTCTCTGTATGCTGCCATATAATCTTGTCATTTTCTTTCCTCACTGACTAAATACATTCCTCCAAACACAAAACCTGGTCTTAGTAGTTTTAGACATCACTGTTAGATTATAGAGTTCAAAATGCCAAGCACCATGCCTTTATATCATGTCACTGCTAACCCTGCCAGTTATGAGATACTCATGGGTTTTAGTTGGTTGATATAATAGGTGAGAAATGCTCAGTAAAAACTGACGGAGTCTAATTGTCTCTTCAGAGATTAGAAGATTGATAATTGACTAGTTAGCTAGTATTTTTTTATCAAAGGAGCAGGAACCTATTATTATTCCTACTACTCATTGCTCTCAAGTTGGAACTGGCTGATCCTCGAGTGGGTTTTTGGAGACTATAAATAATACAGGAGAAGATTGTTCGTCTTTCTGTAAGAGTGACTGATGGATTCATACTGCCAGAGAGGCACCATCTTTGGGTTAGCAGGGTAGCTCCTTATGGGCTATGCCACCAGAGCTCCCTGTTAAAAGGAAATACTCAGTGTTTAATAGCATATTAAATATTAACATGAGAAGCTAGATATCAAGCAAGAAATTTCTAATAGTAATAACCATTAGAAGAAAAAAAAGGAGCAAAATTTGTTAGCTATATTTCAAAGAAACCAATTTTATGATAAAAAAATTACTAAAATACTGCCTCTGTTACTAATACCTATAAACTTCATAAACAAACAAGGCATCCGTTTTCTAGTCTTGAAAAATAACTTTTTCCCTTTTATATATTTGCTGAAAAGTGAAGTATTTTGGGAATATTGAGTAGGTTAACATTAGGTTTTTCTTCAGTCATACAATAGCCTTGCATTGCATTATGCTATCTTAATGCATTAGGTATAGTTAGAGGTATATGTCTGTTATTATGTGTTATAATTAAACTTAGTCTTTTTCTAAAATTTATTAAATTACAGTGAAAACATTTCCAAGGGAACTTGGGAAATCTTAACTGGAATAAGCAATGTTAATCTATGGAACTAGCAGCTCACCCACTCTTACTGATGTAGTTAAGTTCTAAAGGCCAGTTCATTATATGAAAATCAGCAGTATGTAAAAGGTGACTACATCATTACATGATTGCCAGATTACATTACTGCAAAACTGCCAAACGGTGAGAATCATGGGCCAGCCAAATTAACACATAACTGCCACAGGAACCATTGTTCCTGCCTCACATCTCAGCATGTGTTAATATGAAAAGTAGTTGATTAGTATTTTTTTTACTATTGTCATAAATGTAAAATGTCAAATATGAGATAGTCAATAAGCCAGGAGTATATGCTGTTGTTTTTAAGAGATATATAATGATCAATATGGGTAGTAGCTGCCTATATTTTACTTAGTGCGGATTTAGATTGCAATACTATATACAAAACCCATTATCTTTATGTCAGCGTTCATTCAGAGTGACTTTATCAAACATAGTATAACTGCCCCATAGACTTTTCAAAGCTTTAATCTTTATAGAAACAGCTGCCACATCTTTCTCCATTGGAGTGACTGGTGGATTCAATGTACCAACCTTTTGGTTAGCAGCCAAACTCTTAACAGCTACACCACTCAAGCTCCTTAATATCGGGTATACCTTACTTCATTTCTAAAAAGTGTTGAGGCACCTAAATAAATGTTTACCTAAGTATATTTGTCCAGTAATGTGTACTTTTCTTTCTTAAGGTATTTGAGTTTGGAAATAACTTTTAACAGTCAGTGGTAACTCTAATATGAAAATGTTTTCTTATTTCAAACAGCTAGTTAAAGGCCTTCAGCAAGAGCTGAATCGATTATATTCCCTTTTCTGTTCTCGGAATCCAGACTTTGAAGAAAAAGGGGGTAAAGTTTCAATAGTGTCACATTCCTTGGGCTGTGTAATCACTTACGACATAATGACTGGCTGGAATCCAGTTCGACTCTATGAACAGTTGCTGCAGAAGGAAGAAGAGTTGCCTGATGAACACTGGATGAGCTATGAGAAACGACATCTTCTTGATGAACTCTATATAACAAAACGACGGTAAGAAGTCTTGTTGTTGTTGTTGTTGTTATGTGCCGTCAAGTCGTTTGCAACTCATAGCGACCCTATGTACAGCCCTAAACAGCCCTAAACCCTGCTCTATCCTGTGCCAATCGCATTGCCTCTGTCACACCCAGTTGGCCCAGTGGTGAGAATCTTTGTCTTCTTGACATTGAGCCTCAGTCCATACTAAAGGCTACAGTCTTTGACCCTCTGCAGCAAGTGCATGAGGTCCTCCTCAAGCTGCTTTGAAGGAAATAGCAAAAAATAAGGCCCCAGGAATAGATGGTATACCAGTTGACATATTTCAGCTAACAGATGTTGCCCTGGATATGCTCACCAAGTTGTGCCAGGAAATCTGGAGAACAACCACTTGGCCAACTGACTGGAAGGGAGGACTGGAAGAAGTCTTACTTTCTTAAAATAATGAAAATGTCTCAAGATTCTGAGGGAGATGCTTATGATTTTCATTATTAAAAATAAAACCTACAGTTCAGGAGATTTGTTGTAATTTATTGCTGTCAGATTGATTCTAACAGCACTACTCTGTTTACAGCAAAATCCTCCCCAATATCAGCACTGTGTGTCAGTCACTTGATTGAGGGTGTTGGCCTTTTTCATTTACCTACTTTTCCCAAGACCTTTTCTAAGGACTGGCCTTACCTGACAACATGCCCAAAGTATATGAGACAAACTCTCAACCATCCTTGCCTCTAAGCAGCTCATTGGCTGCACCTCTTCTAAGATACATGTTTGTTCATTTAGAAGTTCATGGTTTGTATAGTCAGTATATTAAGTTGCCTTAATTCAAAGCCATCAATGATTCTTAAGTCTTCCTTATTCATTGTCTACTCTCACATGCGTATGAAGTAATTGAAAATACCATGGCATGGATCAGGCACCCCTTAATCTTTCAACTCACATCCTTACTCTTTAAGACTTTAAAGAAATCCTTGACAGCAATTTGTCCCTTATAATATGTCATTTGATAATATCAGGTCCAGTTAATTAAGTAGATATTTGTTAGTTTTCATGCTAATTGTGAGGGTTTTATATGACATAAAATTTTTTTTATCCTTGTCATTTTACTCATCTTAGGGGTGGATTTTGACCTTTCTTATTATTCTAAAAATCATTTTGAAACTCCTTTTATTCTTGGCAAATGTATTTGGTAGATTTTTTAATTTACTGATATCTTTAGGAATTTGCTGATATTTTTGCAATTCTGTGCTACATTCCTATCTTCTTGCTTAGTTATGTGCCCAGTTTTCTTTGTCTTGCCAGTGGCACAGCTTTATTTGATTATCTCAAATAAAGCAGTGAAAAATCACGTTTATAGTTTTGGCATTATATGAAAACAGCCAGCTTACTAATTTTTTTTACTTTCAAGTAGCTTAGCTTTGTTTTTGTCTTAAAGACATTGTCTAAGGATGTCATTTAAAGTCTTGTTAATAAGTTCCAACCTATGTTAGAGAAATAGATTTTATAGTACCAAAGTACAGGTAGTTTTGAAAGAAAATGTCATGTTTGGCAAGTCTCAGCAGCATGTTAGCTGTATAAAATCAGTAAATCTTTTTCTGAAAAAATAGACCTGGGAAATGAAAAAAAATTTTTTTAAGCTTGAGTCTCTTATTTAATGTAAATAAATAACAGTAATGGGAGGAAAAATAGAAACAGGCCATCAGTTCAGCAGAGAAGATTAATTCATTGTGATTCATCCATATGACAAACGGTTACCAAGCTAGAAGTCACAGAGTAGTGCACTAGTATCCCTTTGGTGCCATTTAAAAAAAAAGATTTGTATTTGGTTGTAAAGCTAAGGTATAGAAATACTTATAATTCCTATGTACTTCCTGGCTATAGCAGTTACATTTATTAAATTCAAGCAGTGAAGATTATTAATCTAAGAGACAGACTAGTAAATCTTTATTTTCTTTATACTATAGTGAACTAATATTAATGAAACTCTGTGTGTATATAATCTCACACTTCTTCCTAGGCTAAGAGAAATAGAAGAACGACTTCATGGATTGAAGGCATCATCTATAACACAAACCCCTGCCTTAAAATTTAAGGTAAGGAGAAAGTCATGAGGTCTTTATCTATTTTGGTACATCTTTCAAACATTATTTAAAATAAATAAGAATTCAAATTAAAGCTGAATTATTCTTTCAAGTTACTACTTATTAAACATATGCTATGTTCTGGACACCACCAGTTTCTCAGTTCTGCTATGAAAAGAATGCTTTCCAACCTAGGGTATAAAACTGATACATGCATAGGTGAGGGAAGTTTTCATTTTGTCTGGAGAGGTAACAAAGGAATGATATTTGATCTCTGTAAACTCAATACTGTTAAAAGAAGATAAGTAGAAATTAGATATATTTTTCAAAAGTGTTGCATAAAAAAAGCCATATATATATATATATATAGGTATATATATGAATAAAATTTTATAGGACCTTCTTGAAAAACCAAATATACTAGTTGCTGTTTTCATTAAGTATTGTCAAGTTCGGACTGACCCATAGCTGATCTCCTAACAGATTTTTAGAGACAGTTTAATCGCATCGCAGGTAATTGCCCATCTTTCTCCCATGGAGCAGCTGTTTGGGACATGTTGCTAAAAAAGGCTATTCCTTGGAAAGGGGCATGATACTTGGAAAAGTTGGGGATCATCACAAGAGAAGAAGACTCTCAATGAGATCGATTGACACAGTGACTGCAGCAATGGGCTCGAGTATGTCAGAGATGATGAGGATGATACAAAACAGACAGATCTTGTGTTCATAGGGTTCCTCTGAGTGCTACTCAACTCTATGGCTCCTAATAATAGCAAAAGCATTCTTGAACATTCTCTGAATTAGAATAATTTTCTTAGGAATTTATTTATCAAACAACAGTCCTATCATCATAAGGAAAAGAACTAAATTTGTTTACTCCATGGATTTATAGAGTTAACAGTTTAGTAAACAGTGGTGTCCCTGACCAATGCATAAAGCATTTTGCAAGCTTGGGGGCAGGGAAGAGAGAGAATTTTTACATGTTCATGTGTATCAAACAAAGTATTTACATAGCTTTCTCTTCTGTCTCAATCATTTTTTATCTTATATTTTAATTTTTTAACATCAGTTAGTTTTCTTTAGTCATCAGGCATGTTGATGTCCTATTCTCTCCCTCCAAAATAAAATAATATTTTTCCTCGGGCTATCTTTACCATAAAGATGGAATCTCAAAATGGAGGGGAAAAAACAACAAAGCAATGTATTTATTCCTTTTGAAATAAAGGAAAAATCACTCTAGTGAGTCTAGCAAGCATCTGAAACACTGACACCACTGAATACTGGTGGAACAACAGTTGTTTTCCATTGAGTCACCTGTGACTTATAACGACCCTCTGTACAACAGCTCTGATGCCTGTCCTGAGCCAGTCTCACTGACTGTGACACACCTACCCCCACTACCCCAGTTATAGTGTCAATCCATCTTACTCTCCTGTGCTGTCCCTCTACCCTTTCAAGCATGATGTCCTTCAAGGACTGGTCCCTCCTGGCCACATGCCCAATGTATGTGAGACAAAGCTTCAAAATCCTAGCTTCCAAGGAGAAACTTGATTTCACCCTCTCCAAGACAGACCTATTTGTTTTCTTAGCAGTCCATGCAAACTAATGCAGCCATCTGGGGGGACATTCAGACAGTTATTTAAAAGGCTACATAAACACAGATTTACCATGCAATCTTAGCAATCATGCTTCTTGGTATTTACTTAAATAAGTTGAGAACAAATGTCCAAAAAAAGAAAAACCTCAACAATTTTTATAGCAGTTCTAGTTCCAACTTTTAAAAACTAGAAGCATTTTTTAATAGCAAATTAATAAATTGTTGTATATACATTTCAAAGGAGTATTATCCAACTATAAAAGTAGTGGGCTTTTATGATCTAATCAATCAGGCCAACTATTGGGTCATCCTCTGGTGCATTTTCAGAGGCAGTAAATTACATAGGATATTACTCACCTTTCTACCACAAATCAGCTGGTGAACTCAAACCACCTACTTTTGGTTTAGCAGTGTCACCCCTTTACCACCAAACCAGCAGAACTCTCTTCAAAAATACATGGTTGGTGGTGTTGTTATGTATCGTCGAGTTGCCTGCGACTCATAGCGACCTTATATACAACAGCCCTAAACTCCGCTCTGTCCTGTGCCAATCGCACCGTCTCTGACACTCCCATCCCGATTATCCCAGTCATTGAATCAATCCACCTCATAGAGGGCCTTCCCTTCCTGCGCTGTCCCTCCACCCTCCCAAGCATGATGTCCTTCTCCAAGGACCGGTCTCTCCTCACAACATGTCCAAAGTATGTTAGAGCCTCAGAATCCTTGCCTCCAAGGAGCCACCCAGTTTAACCCTTTCCAGGATGAATCTGTTTGTTTTCCTAGCAATCCATGGTACCCTCAATACTCTTCTCCAGCACCACGGCTCAAAGGCATCAATTCCTCTTCTATCCTCCCTAGTCATTGTCCAACTCCCTGGTGCATAACAAATGATTGCAAAGACCATGGCCTGTATCAGGTGCACCTTAGTCTCCAAAGAGACACCATTGCTCTTCAGTACTTTGGAGAGGTCCCTAACAGCAGACTTTCCCATGGCAATATGTCTCTTAATTTCCTGACTCTTGGTGCCAAGAGTGTTGACTGTGGAGCCAAGCAAACTAAAGCTGTGTACAATCTCAATCTCTTCACCATCCATCCTGATGCTGCCAATTGGTCCAGTGGTGAGAATCTTAGTCTTCTTTACATTGAGCCTCAATCCATTTTGGAGGCTGCAGTCCTTGATCCTCTGCAGCAGGTGCTTCAGGTCCTCCTCAGTTTCAGCAAGCAGGGTTGTGTCATCTGCATAACGCAGATTGTTGATAAGTCTTCCACCAATACTGATGCCACATTTCTCCTCATACAGCCCAGCCTCCCAGGTATGGAGATAGGATGCATCCCTGGCGTACACCCTTCCCAATTTTGAACCATACAGTGTTCCCTTGCTCTGTTCTGATGACTGCCTCCTGGTCCAAGTATAGGTTTCGCATTAGAACAATGAAGTGTTCTGGGATTCCCATTCTTCTCAGAGTCAGCCACAGTTTTGTAACAAAATACATGGAGAAGCCTAAAATTCATATGGCTTGGAAGCAGCAGTGACATCCACAACAGCTTACCTCTGGAAACCCTATGAACCTGGAGAAAGGACAAAAGTTATATAGGAAGTGTCCAGCACTTTCTTTCATAGGGTCGCTATGAGTCACCTGCAACTCGATGGCACGTAACAAGACAAGAGGAAACAGCTACATACTGCATGATTTCAATTATATGACATTATGGAAACATCAAAAGATGAGTGGTTACTAGGGATTTAGGGACAGTGGGTAGAGGTTTAATAGGCAGAGGACAGGACAATTTTAGGACATTGAAACTATGTGATTCTGTAATGGTCGACACAATACATGCATTCACTAAAACTCTTAGGGCTGTGTTAACCCTAATGTTATATAATCTTTGTTTCCATATTCATTAATTATATTTCTTTTCTGTAAACTGAGCTACATTCTTCTTTGCCTCTGCTTTAGTTTTATTTCATGTGTTTGAAATGCTCTCCTTTCAGCCTCAGTGGCCTACCCCAACTCTGAACATTCTTTTTTTTTTAATGAAAGTTTACAGACTTAGGGTTTCCAGTCATTCATTGTTACACTTTTCTCCCTACCCACCCCCTCCCCCCAATTCACTCTTCTCATTGTAAAGACGGAAAAACTCTTTCATTGTTATGCAAATCCCTCCCCCTAAGTCCACTCCACTATGCAGCCTTCACTCTGGACTTCTGTAATGACAAGAATACCCATTCATATATCCCTTTTAAACAATTATCTCCTTTATCAGTTTCAATGCAATATGCATCATTCCTCCCCTCCTTTTCTGTCTTCCCTCAACTCTGATGTCAGTCCTGTTTTAAAACAGTGGCCCTATGCAATATTTATCCTTTTGTGAGTGAGATATTTCACTCAGCATAATGTCCTCCACAGTCATCCATTTTGCATAGTATTTAATGAGTTCCTTGTTTTTCAGTGCTGCAAAGTATTCCATTGTGTGAATATACCAGAGCTTCTCGATCCATTCGTTTTTTGATGGGCAAGCATTCTTTTCATCTCCTACCAGTGCAGATACTACCTCCCCTGTAAAGCCTGCAGACTTGGGATTATTACTTTCTTTTTCTTTTCTTGCAGTTTCTATTATGTACTTAATTTATTCTGCTCCTCCCACTAGAATGGATTCTGTCTTTATGTTCTTCAGAATAGCACTTACCTATTACTTTACGCAAAATGGTAGCTTAATAGGCCTTTGATTCGTGTATAGGAAAGAGGACATACTCAGTGACATGATCTCTTCTCAGTCTAATATTAGATTTAAAGATAAGGAATTTGCTCCTGAAAATTGTTCCAGAATGTTTAACAGTTAATGTAATTAGCAGATAATTTAGGTGTATAGTCTGGACAAAGATACTATTTGGATATAGTTTTATTCTTTTATCATATATTGTACAGTGCCCAAGATCTTTGAAAATGAGATTTAACCCTTGTTATAATTTAGGATGATATTACCATTTTAGGTTGAGAATTTCTTCTGTATGGGATCTCCACTAGCAGTTTTTTTGGCACTACGTGGCATCCGTCCAGGAAATACTGGAAGTCAAGACCATATTTTACCGAGAGAGATTTGTAACCGGTTACTAAATATTTTTCATCCAACAGACCCAGTGGTGAGTTGCAAGTAGAGACATTTTTCTCATGATATTAAAATTGTACCTAAAAGAATCATTTTTAAAAACCTTGAAAATGACAATTGAATTAATGAGAAAAATTTCAGCAGATTTTTTTTGTAAAAGTTTATATTCCTAAAATATTTTAAGTTTTGGTTAATTTAGAGTTCATAAAATAAAAATTGGGGGGGAGGGGGGAGGGTTTTGTGTGGGGAGAAGGGTGCAACAATGAATGAATGGAATCCCAAAATCTCTGTAGATGTTCACTGAAATGAAAAATAAACAACCTAAATTAAAAAAAAAAAAAGACTAAGGAAAAAAAAATAAAAATTAACTAAAGATACTCTGTTTATGTCTCACTTTCATTGGAAGAGTATCTCTAAAGTAAAAGTATTATCCCTAGACAATTAATACAAGACCCCGGAACCTACTGTATGTTCAAGCTTTAGCCAGTTGTAATACCAGTAATCTAGCAACAATAACTTTTTTAATTCCAACTTTAAATAGCTTTCTGTAAAGTATCCTGTAGTATTTAAATGTGTTTAACTCTCTCCAAAATGAAAATATGTTAAAATAAAGAAAACCTGAAACTCATTGCTTTCAAGTTAGAACTGATGCATAGCTGACCGTCCAGTGGGTTTCGGAAGCTGTAAATCACACTAGAGGAGATTGCACATCTTTCTCTCATGGAGCTTAAGGTAGATTCTAACTGCTAGAGAGGCACCATCTTTGGGTAGCAGGGCAGCTTCCTATAGACTATACCACCAGAGCTCCCTAAATATCCCCATGGTTTTGTTAGGTTCCATTAAGTCATAGCAATCCTATAAACAACAGATCTAACAATGCCCTTTCATGTACCATCTTTCCCATCTATGCTCGAGCTTATTGTCACAGTCACTTATGTCAGTCCATTTTGTTGAGACCTTCTTCTCTTTCTCTGAATTTCCACAGTCTTCTTCTAGTGCTGGCCCTTCCTAACAACATGCCCAAAGTATATGAGACAAAGTTTATGAAATATGGGAACTGTTTACTTTGGCATGATGTAATATTTTTTAACTTGGGATATTTATATTTTTTATTAAATTGGTGCAACAAATAATTTTATATGTTTTTTATTATTATTTTAATGAAAATTTACAGACTTTGGATTTCCATTCATTCATTCTTGCACTTTTCTCCCTGCCCACCCCTCCCCCACCCAGTACACTCTTCTTTTTGAAAAGTAAAGGAAAACCTCTCTCACTGTTTTACAGTCCCTCCCCACAGCTATGCAGCATGCTATGCAGCCGTCATTCTGGACTCCTGTTGTGACAAAAATACCTAATCACATATCCCTTTTAAACAGTTTTCTCCCTCATCTGTTTCAATGCAGTATACATTATTTATCCTTTCTTATTCAGTCTCCCCCCAACCCCAATGTCAGTCATGTTTTAAACAGTGGCACTATGCAGTATTTGTCCTTTTGTGACTGAGATACTTCACTCAGCATAATGTCCTCCAGGGTCACCCATTTTGAATAATATTGCATGAGTTCCTTGTTTTTCAATGCAGCATAGTATTCCATTGTGTGAATATACCACAGCTTCTCTATCCATTTGTTTGTTGATGGGCACTTAGGTTGCATATATCTGCTTGGGTGGCAGTTATAGTCTCTTTGGGGTATATTCCCAGTAGTAAAATTGCTGGGTCAAATGGTATTTCTATTTGCAACTTTCTGAGAAAGCGCCACACTGCTTTTCACAGAGGTTGCATCATTTTACACTCCTACCAACAGTGAATAAGGGTTCCAGTTTCTCCACAATCTCACCAGCATTTGTTTGCTACTTTGTTAAATTTTGCTATTCTTATTGGGGTAATATGATATCTCATAGTTGTTTTACAAATAATTTTTTAAGCTGGACATTCTAAACCGTTTAATAGCAAGTAAAATTTTTAAACCAAGAAAATGGTTTCTTAAAATCTTTTTTTTTTTGCAGTAAGTTTGGATGTAAGTAAGTAAATCAGCAACATTATTTATTCTGCGCAAAGTGATTTCCTGTAATTGTGTAAAGACTTGAGAAATTGATGGCTAGTACCAAGTAATTAGAACATTCACTAAACACTAGAATTTTAGATATTTCTCATTTATTTCAAGGGAAAAAATTGCCATCTTTAACTAATAGCTTTAACAACTGTGAAGCTCAGATTCATAAACAGACCATATGGTCTTGATCACTTTGGGGAGTTTTTCTTTCTGTGTGAATGCAGATGACAATATTTTACCTCCTATAGCTGTGTAAGCAGCCCAGCTCAGCACCTCCATTAACATCTATTCTAGCATCCTTTAACTTGAAAGTAAGCTGCAAGCTTTTCCCTGCCTTTTTTATGTCTTAAACTTTGCTTTATTATGAAAGAGGTTCCAAAATCATCTTTTTCCTCGAAATTCTTTTTTGTCTATTTCATAGTAACTTTAAAAATACTTTTAGAACTGTGCCATTGTTAGGTGTCATCAAGTTGGTTCTGACTCATAGTGACTCACTACAGCACAGTGAAATGCTAGCCAGTGCTGCACCGTCCTCACGGTCAGCTAAGTCATTGTCACAGTCACTGCTTCAGTCCAGCTCCTTGAGAGTCTTCCCTTTTTTCATTCTGATCCTTATGAAGTGTGATACCCTTCTGCAAGAACTGGCTTCTAATGAAATGTGCTTAGTTTATGAGATGAAGTTTTACTATCCTTGCTTCTAAGGAGCATTCTGTCCTTGCTAGACTATATTATAGACACGGTAAATAGGTTTTATACACTTTATTTATTCATTCCAACATTTCTAAGATATAGGAGTGTCTTACATCCTTTCTACAAATCATAGCAATGGGACTCTGAAACCTTGTAACCAGATAAACATCATAGTTAATGAGCAATAGAACTAGAAAATTAACATTATCAATTCCAATGCTTTTGCTTGTACATCATCCCTACTTCATATTAGGCAAATTGTCTTGTATCACACTCATCCCTGGGTAGTGAAAATAGGATGTAATTGACTGCCAGCCTAAAAGCTGGCATTCGAATATACCAGCTGTTCTGATGGAGGAAGATGCAGCAACAGTTTGCATAAAGACAACAGTCCTGGTAGGGTTTTTTTGTTGTTGTTTTAATTTTTTTTTTTACATTTTATTAATTTTAATGAATGTTTACAGAGATTTTGGATTTCATTGTTGCATTTTTCTCCCTGCCCACCGCTCCCCCCCATATTTTATTATTTTGTGTGTTTGTACCATCAAATCAGATCTGACTGGTACAGGAGGAAATTGTCCCTCCTCTCCAGCAGAGCATCTGGTGGATTTGAACCACATACCTTTGGGATTGCAGTGCAGCTTCTTGCCACTAGGCCACCAGAGCTCCCTAGTCCTGGTAGTTCTACACAATCTTTTAGAGTCACTGTGTCAAAATCAGTTTTACAGCATTGGGGTTTTTCTGGGGGGAGGAGGGAAGGTGTTTGGTTTTATTACCATCCTAGAAGGAAGACCTGGTAGTATAATGGTTAAAGCACTCAACTGTTAACTGAAAGGTGGAGATTGAAATCCACCTGCCCCTTCATGAAAGAAAAGACTGGCAGTCTGCTTCTGTGTGGGTAACGCTACTCTGTCATGTAAGGTTTCTGTAAATCAGAATTGACAGCATGCAACAACATTATCCTCTATTTCTTTTTTGTTTGTTTTATATCATCATAAAGACTTTATAATTGGGTTAACTAAATACTGCTAAACACTAAATAAATAGGAATATATGTTTGATATATATATTTCATCAATTCTTCCTCTAAGGTCTATTTAGTATACAATAGTAAATTTAGTTTACTAAAACCCAGGCATTGTGCTTAATGTTGTCTTTCTTTGAAATTGTTTTGAATCAAGGCTTATAGATTAGAACCATTAATACTGAAGCACTACAGCAACATTTCACCTGTCCAGATCCACTGGTACAACACTTCAAACCCTCTACCTTATGAGCACATGAAGCCAAGCTTTCTCAACCCAGCAAAAGAACCTACCTCAGTTTCAGAGAATGAAGGCATTTCAACCATACCAAGCCCAGTGACCTCACCAGTCTTGTCACGCCGACACTATGGGGAATCTATAACGAATATAGGCAAAGCAAGCATATTAGGTAACTTCTCTTGACTGTTCCTTATCTGTGGTTAGAGGCACTTTTTGTATGGTATAATGGTTAATGTTTGAGAATTAGAATAAGCTGCCTTCTTTGAGGTCTGAAAGCCTTAAAGTTCTCTACTTAGATCAGATGCTGTAGTTTCAGCTGGATAAACAAGAAAAAACATTGGTCTGAGAGTCGTTCTTCATGTTAATTGTGGCTGTGCTGCTTACTTAGATCTTGAACAAATGATCTGTCTTTAATGATCTTTTCCCCCATCTGTGAAATCAGAGAGTAGTTAAATTCTAAGAGTTTCCAGTACTCCCCTGTGCATCTCCATTACCAAGTGAGTTGTTCTAAAAATTTCAAACCGTATACCTCAAAAGATATTTAACTTCTCTTTCTTTGAATGAACCTAAGTGTCCTAACTCTGAAGTGCACTTGATTTGCCAGCCACGTACATGATCTAACATGCCTTAATACAAAGTGCCACAAGATGGCACTATAATAGGCTTTATCCGCTGGACTTTTTGGCTATTGCACTTCATAATACTCACAGGTATTGATGGCTTTTTATAACATCCACTTTACTTCAGTCATAAACCCACCAATAGTAAATATATACGCAAGACAATAGCAGGGTTCTTTTTTTAAAAGTTTTCATCTTGCCAAATAGTTTATTAAATAATGATCGTTTGAGTAAATTAGAATCCTTATCCCTTTGTTTACAAACTGTATACCTAGAGCTTTCACAGAATTTTGTTTGGCATCATTTTTATTTAGAAACTTGTAGTTTTCTTAAGGCTTATGTTCCTACCCTGGAAATACTTGATTAGAGCTTGGTCTTTTTGCCAGTTGCCTATAATTATGGGTGGTGCTTTTGTAGCTTGGTATGTGGTATAATTCAACAGAATGACTCTCCTGTTTTGTTAAATGCAGGGGCTGCTAGCATTGGAAAGGGACTTGGAGGAATGTTGTTCTCAAGATTTGGACGTTCGTCTACACAGTCTTCTGAGACATCAAAAGACTCCTTAGAAGAGGAGAAGAAGCCAGTTGCCTCACCTCCTACAACTACTGTGGCAACACAGACCCTTCCACATAGCAGCTCTGGCTTTCTTGATTCTGCATGTTAGTTCATAATGTTCTTTCCTTAAGTTTATATGATGCCATCATAAAATTTGAGGAGGGCAGGGAGGGTTAAAGTCTTAATATTAGCCTTCAATTCCAACATCTAATGCAAGCATTTAAAAAAGCTTTTCTTTAAAGATAAATCTGCTTACAGTTTTAAGAATAATTTCCCGGTAAATTTAATTTTATTTTATGCATTGATGAATTAATAGTTAAGAACTTTAATAAACAGGACTTTGTGGCACAGGAATTCAAGAACATCTCTTTTGGATAAGCACCCATCTGATTTTTAGAAAATGTTTGGGTTTTGTGGGTTTTTTCTTAAATACAATCTCTCAATCTTAAGAATAGTAACAGTTGTTTCAAATCTATGCTCTATCTAGTCCTTAGACTTTAAAAAACTTTTTGGCTCTTCCAAAGCCATCTTACTTCTAATCCCACAGTCTCCTTTATCCAGCCTAACTATAAGACCTCTAAAAGCTTAAACATCTTTCTTGAATGTACGCTGTGTATGACTTTCAATCCTGTCCCACCTACCTAATATTAATCAAGAAATGTTCAGTCAATGAATGAGTAGGTCTTGAGGTTTTTATGTTTAGTTTGAACTTAACATTAGATTGGACCATTTTTCAATAGATTTTCACAGTTTAAAATCTAGAACTAGAAATATATATGTTGTTGTTAAGTGCCATTGAGTTGAGCACAACTCATCGCAACCCTATGAACAAAAGACCTGAATTCTGCTCTATAACTACTGTCGTTTCTCTATGTTCATAGTTTCCAGAGGCATGTTGTTTAGGAAGTGGATGCCACTCCTTCCAAGCCTGTCTCGTACAAATATGTGTATTTATGACCTTACTATAAATGTGTTTATATAAGGATTTAAACCTGAGCAGTATTATTAGTTGTAAAGAAACATAGGTTTTGAGGCACGCTACTAACTCTCTGTAACTATAGCAAGAAGGAAACTTTGCTTTCTTTAAGACTTTGAGAATAAATTTCAGATACATCTATCTTTGCTTTCCTGCTGTAGATTACTCTCAATTTGGAAATGAACAATATCTATTGCCTTCTACAACCTATTTTTAAGAGGTACATTAGAATAAGTCCTGCAGGCTAGATCTTTTCTACACAAACAACTTCACTCCAGCATGAATTAACAAAAAGATTGAACATTTCCGTTTTAGCCAGCAGTATTTTAAACTTTTCTTTCTATATTAGACGCTAAGCACTTTCTTATTGTAAATCTAAATGTTAATTGGGTCGTCTAAAAACTTTCTCTTGGGACTTTGATACTATGGCTTTGTTTCTTTTTAAAAAAAATCACTTTTTAGTTTTCACCTAAGAGTCCCTATATTACTGTTGGCTTAACGTCTTATTTTTACCTAATGTCAGAAATATGATTGTGAAATTTTGTTTTGTCATTTGCATACATTTAAAAAATCCTGTAAACTTCTGGGAGAATTTAATTTCAAAGAATTTTGTATGATAACAGATGAAAGTTAAAATTTCTCTTAATGATTTCAGTTCACAGAAGTGATACTAGTAAATATTAGTGAGCAAAAACAGTTGGCTAAGGCTTGAACCCCAGAGAAAGGATAATGTAGACATGAAATCAGCAGAATATAAGGGGCAAAAACAGCTAAGCATTGACTGTTTAAATTAGAAATTTCAAAGTGATAGAGAAACTCCCAATTTCTTCTTTGATTACAGTAATCTGTAGTGGTACTTAACTGTATTACATCACTGTATTATAATGTTATTGGTGTTGAGTGCCGTCGAGTCACAGGCGACTCATAGCGACCTTATGAAGGAGAGTCCTCAACACTTGGGTGTCTTTCCTCCTCTCTCCAGGTTCATAGGGTTTCCGGAGACAAGCTATTATGGAAGTGGATGCCACTCCTCCTTCCAAGCTTGTTATAATAGCTTAACAAAATAGATTTTCTGTCCATATATATCATTTCCTCTTCCTGATGGTAAAGTTCTTATCAACCATTGATTCAACTAAAAATGAGCTAATCATGTTTCCTGGTTGGATATATCCATCTTCTACTACTAAAATTCTGTCTTTTAAATCAAAGACTTGTATTACTTATTCTTTTACTTTAATATTCTACTGTTCTGCAAATCTGATTAAAGCAAATACTGATCTTGTAATTGCTGTTTTGACTGGCAAATCATGAAGCCTTTCTTTTACATCTTCTTTCTAGAATTTGGTCATTGTGATTAAGTAATTCTGGCTTCCTTTCTGATCTTTCTTCCTTCCTTGTATTCACGCTGATTGCTTCAGTTCTTCAATTTCTATGACTTTGATTCTCTCTTATTTGAGGGTAAGATAGACACAGACTGAATTCATGAGCAATCAAGGTTTCTATCTTTGAAGAGTAAGTGTTGTCAATTGAGACCTACTTTTTGTCTGTTGTTAAGTTGGAGTGTTCTTCATTTCATTGAGAAGTTCAGTAATTTTCTATTCTACTATTTCATTTGTTTTGTGTGCCCTCCTGTACTTTTGATATATTTATGAGAAGAAAAGATTATTCCTTTTAGTGTTTCTTTGCCTCTAGGTTAGAGCCTAAAGGATTATTAATTTGGGGATTGTCTGGATGTTTACAGATTTATGGTGTTATATTTCAGAGTCAATTAGAGCTCTTAAAAACTGAAGTATGTACATTTTTATATATGTTAGGTTTAATCCTCTTACTGGGAGTGTTTCTCTAACTTTTGGCCACTGCATCACTGGAGGCCATTTCTAACCATCAACCAATCCTTTACAGCATCTTATTTTTTTTTTCACAGATTTCAAACTTCAGGAATCGTTCTTTAGTCTCCCACAACTACTTTTCCCGGAAAATGTAATGCAGAATAAAGATAATACCCTCGGTATGGTATATGTCAGGAACAGCAGAGTACTGTGAAAATTATCTACATAGAGTTGTTCGTTGTTCTGCTCATTGAAAAATTGGATCGATACTTCTATGTAATCAGTTTGGATGTTACTATTACAGACTATTTTATATGTATTTTCTTCCTTTATATTCTAATCTTTAGTGATACTGATCCTGAAATCTCACTATTGACCAGCTAGTTAATATGCAAAATTTTTTTGTATACCTGTACACTCCTACAAAGAAGGAACTTTTAGAGAAGAGAAAAACACTAGGCTACTTTTTTCTATTTTCTTGAAGCCTCCAAGGAGGTTTGCTATACTTTTCACATAACACACTTAGATATAAAAGGGTTTAATAATGTTGTTATGTGGCGTCGAGTCGCTTGCAACTCATAGCGACCCTATGTACAACAGCCCTAAACCCTGCTCTATCCTGTGCCAATCTCACTGCCTCTGACTCATCCATCCCGATTACCCCAGTCACTGAATCAATCCACC